AAGGCAGGGGAAAACACGTGCGACGCAGCTTTCGCCTCCAGGTTTCTTGACAGCCTGTGACCCAACAGGAGCCCTGCGGATCTCGCTTCTCTAAGATGCCACTACCCCCAAGCCGAAGCTACCCCCAGGCCAAATTGGGGATTCTTACCCTTCTGATTTCTGATGGCTATATCGTGGCTCTGCGTCCTTCGGCTTGGGGCTGAAGCCGTCTTAGAACTTCCCATGGCGCCAAGGCGGTCTACATTCGAACAGACACTCACTAGCTGGTGGCAACTTACGTGTGTGCGTGTGCGCGTGCTGTTCGTGCATCGAGATGTTTGCTGAATTGCAGTTGTCAGATCCCCCCCTATCTGAAGGGGGGGCGGGGGTTGGGGGCGTCCCCAAGTCCATATATCCAGTGTGGGAGACGCGCCCTTTATACAAACATAATCAACCACTGTTTGACCGAAGCCGGGCCTTGAAAGGTGGTTGTCACCATTTTTCCGGAGCATGATAAGGCCTGGTCTGCACAGCAGTCTGTATGCTCGCCAGCGCAGGGTGTTTGGCAAACAAAGTAAGAAGGACCGGACATGAAAATGCGTGGCAAACGCGTTTTGTCCCGGAAAGCAAGCAAACAGTCCCAACACTTCGCATCAGAGGAGCTGGTCAAAACCAAGGCCTTGATTCCTCAGCCTTGCTTGAATGACTATCTGTTGTTCCGCACTCGCCTTTGGCGCAGAAAGCGACTCATGTGGAAGGAGTTTTCTGGCTGCGCAGCATCTCACTTCTGATCGAGTGGACTGGCCACAAAAGGTATCCGAACGTTTTTTTACCATTGGAATGGGGTCTTTCCAAAAAAAACACAAAGTGCATGAACTCAGGAAGAGGGATAAATGTAGTAACCAAACTTCACGCGCGACTTCGTCTAGTGAACTCCGCTTCAGTACGCCCTCGCGCCACTCAAACTTTGTGGCTGTTGACCCCTCCGCAAAAAGTTGTCACCTTTTGTGGGTTTGGTGGAAAACCCTTGATTTCAACTAAAAAGCTAAAGTCCGAAAATTTCCGTTGCCCAATAGCAGTCAAGTCCGAGCGGCTCATGAACAGGGTCCAGGCATCCATGGCCCCAATCTCCAAGGACTCGAAGAATCCCATCACCGACTCGTCGGCGAAATGCTTCTCGAACTCTCCAATGGTCACCTGCGAACTCACTCTCGCCCAAGGCGGCGGTTCGGGAGATCGGCCGAAGAAATCCGTGGCGGCTGAGCGCAAACCTTGGGGCAAGCCCAACTACCGACTACGCCTTTCAGGATTCGAGAGAGAGAGAGAGAGACGAAAAACAACAAAAAAACAAAAAGATAAGAAAGCAAGCAAGCAAGCAAGCAAGCAAGCAAGCAAGCAAGCAAGCAAGCAAGCAAGCAAGCAAGCAAGCAAGCAAGCAAGCAAGCAAGCAAGCAAGCAAGTAAGCAAGCAAGCAAAGAGAGAAAAAAAGAAACAAAGAGAAACAGAAAGAGGCAAACAGGGGCACCTAGCCTGGCCCTCACCGCGCTCGTCTATCTTGTGGAAGAGGTTTTGAACCTGGTTTGTCAGCTCCTTGCGTGTTTGCAACAGGGACAATACCCTCAGCTCATGGTCATTCTCAGCCGCTTTGATCGCCGCATTGCAGAACACCCCTGTCCTTGGGACGCACATATGTACAATATAACCTCTGCACATATATATATATATGTATATCTTCAAATATGTTATTACATGACAATGTTGTTGCGTGGCATCAACCAGCGGGCGTGTCTGCGATGTGTGGTGCGTGGTGTGTGTGTGTGCGTGCGTGCGTGTGTTGGTTGGTATGTGTATGTGTGTGGCGGGCGCGCAGGCGTGTGCATGCGTGTGTGCGTAAGTGTGTGTGTGTGTGAGAGAGAGAGAGAGAGTGCGTGTGTGAGTGCGCGTTTGCGTGCGCGTGTGTTTGCGTGTGCGTGTGTGCCTGCGCGAGTGCGCAACTGCGCGAGTGCGCGACTGCGCGAATGCGCGAGCGCGCGTGTGCGGGTCTGCACTTGCGCGCGCGCGTGCGTACGTGCGTGCGTGGGTGCGTGGGTGCGTGGGTGTGTGTTTGTGTGTGCGCGTGCGTGCGTGGGTGTGTGTGTGTGTGCCTGTGTCTGTGTGTGTGTGTGTCGGTGGGTGTCTGTGTGTGTGTGTCTGTGTGCGTGCGTGTAGTGGGTGTGTGGGTGTGTGGATCTGTGTGTGTGTGTCTGTGTGTGCGTGTCTGTGCGTGCGTGCGTGCGTGCGTGCGTGCGTCTGCGCGTTCGTGCGTGCGTTCGTGCGTGCGCCTGTGTGCCCATGTGTGCCCATGTGTGTGTGTGTGTGTGTGTGTGTGTGTGTGTGTGTGTGTGTGTGTGTGTGTGTGTGTGTGTGTGTGTGTGTGTGTGTGTGTGTGTGTGTGTGTGTGTGTGTGTGTGTGTGTGTGTGTGTGTGTGTGTGTGTGTGTGTGTGTGTGTGTGTGTGTGTGTGTGTGTGTGTGTGTGTGTGTGTGTGTGTGTGTGTGTGTGTGTGTGTGTGTGTGTGTGTGTGTGTGTGTGTGTGTGTGTGTGTGTGTGTGTGTGTGTGTGTGTGTGTGTGTGTGTGTGTGTGTGTGTGTGTGTGTGTGTGTGTGTGTGTGTGTGTGTGTGTGTGTGTGTGTGTGTGTGTGTGTGTGTGTGTGTGTGTGTGTGTGTGTGTGTGTGTGTGTGTGTGTGTGTGTGTGTGTGTGTGTGTGTGTGTGTGTGTGTGTGTGTGTGTGTGTGTGTGTGTGTGTGTGTGTGTGTGTGTGTGTGTGTGTGTGTGTGTGTGTGTGTGTGTGTGTGTGTGTGTGCGTGTGTGCGTGTGTGCGTGTGTGCGTGTGTGCGTGTGTGTGTGTGTGTGCGTGTGTGCGTGTGTGCGTGCGCGTGCGTGTGCGTGCGCGTGCGTGTATGCGTGTGCGTGTGCGTGTGCGTGCGTGTGTGTGTGTGTGCGCGTGTGCGTGTGTGTGCATTTGTGTGTGTGTTTGTGTGTGTGTGTGTGCTTCGTTTGTTTGTGCGTTTGTGGGTTGTGTTTGTGATTGTGTGTGTTTGTGGGTGTTTGGTTGTTTGGGTGTTTCGGAGTTTGGGTGTTGGTGTGCTTGTGTGCTCGTGCGCTTGTGCGTTTGTGTGCATTGTGTGTTGGTGTGCGTTTGCGTGTTTGTGTGAGTGATTGTGTTTTTGTGCGTTGGTGCGTTGGTGTTTTTGTGGTTGTGGGTGTGGGTGTGTGTGTGTGTTGCGTGCGCGAATGCGTGCGCGTGCGTGTGCGCGTGTGTGTGTTGTTGCACGCACGTTTGTCCGTGGGTGCGTCCGTGCGAGCTGCGTTTGCGCATTGCCTTGCGCCAGTCTTCTGCTGCAAGAGAACGATTGGAAATCGAAACCTGGTCAAGCAAAGCAGCATGACGTTGAGGACCGCAAAGCTGCAGAAAGCCACGTAAAAGTGGAACAGCTGAACCCAAAACTCGCCATTCTCAATGACTCGAAGGGTGTCTGCTGCTTCCTCCCAAGTCAGACCGCTCGAAATACTCCTGAATAACGTCTCGATAGAGTTGTACATGCCCCCGTAATACTTGGCCAAATACTCCTCATCTCGGCTTTCCAACCAGCCCGATGTTGCGCGATGATCTAGCACCGCGTCAGTGAAGAGAATGGCAAACATGTAGATAATGAGGCACAACAACAGCCTCAGCCCGGGCGCGGCAACCCATCCAAGCCAGCCTAGGTTCACGCAAGCTGCTGCGCAAAACTCATTTGAACAAGCGCTGGCGCTAACCGTGGTGGGGGAACGTAAGGCTGCGCTCACGCTCACTCTGCTGTCCGCAGAGTTTGAAATTCGAACGTTCGCCAACGCTTGCAGCCCAAGAGAGGGGCCTGTGGCAAGTCCGGGCTGTCTGGGTTCAAGCAACACTGACTGTTTTCCAGCCTTGCTACTCGATGAATCTCTTACAAGACCCCAACAAACGCCAAATTCCTGCGCGCGGCAAAGACCAGAAGAGCGCCTTGAGCGTGCCCATGAGGGAGTTGATCAAGGTCCTCAAGCTGTCAGCAGAAAGCGCAGACACAAAACATTTGGGCCCGTGAAGGTATCGTTTGTTTCTGCATGGCACAGTCCGTGCGCAAGTTTCTCTGGCCAAGTTGTTCTCTGCGAACAGGTACTACAAAGCTGTCAGGGGCCTCACCTTGCCGTGCGCTCCACACAAACCCCAAAAATGTACTCCGAGCATCAGGCAACACCGACAAACTTTCGCGGTTCGTTCGCCCGCACAGGCTTGGAATCACAGTTTCACGCATGCCACGCCCACGGGGCACATGCATGATGCACCCTTTTTGATCCTGCCAATAGTCACACGCTTGTCTCAAAGACTAAGCCATGCATATCTCAAATGAAGTTTTTGCACGGCAGAGCAGCAAATGGCTCATTGCAGCAGCTACAGTTATAGTTCATTTGATGTGAACCTGGGAGCAACTCAACTGAAAAAGCCAGCGCCCAGCCCAATTTTGGGATCCATTCCTTTGGGCCAACACTGGCACGAAGCCTTCGGCCTTCGCGCAACGCCTGGAACTTCTCGGGCAGGCTCTTTGGCGCAAACTCTGTTGCTCAGCTTCTCTGTCCAACTCACCCTCCCACCAATTCACACCCTGAAAGACACTTGTCCTCTTGAAGGGACCCCCGCCCCCTGCCAGGCTCCATGAATATTAGTGGGAGGGGATCTCGCGCCATTTCCGGGCGCAACTTCTCCTGCGCAGTTCGGCACAACTCCCTGGCGCAACTCCTCCGCAAGCCTGCGCGCTTTCTCCGCGTCTTCTCCGCGTCTTCAGCGGAAGAACCCTCCGCAATGCTTTTGCGCCAAAAAAACCCAGCCAGCCGTCTTAAGCAGGGCTGTGGGGAATGACCACTTCTGTGATATAACAGAAAGGGCTTCCCAAAGACTATTTTGTTGATATAAAGGGGGATTAGGGGGATTCCCAGAAGCGGGGATCGAGAAACCCCGAGTGATCCCACAACCCTGGTCTTAAGAGACGCTCAGTTTTCAGGAAGCCAATGGAAGACGCAGGAAACCCCACGGTGGGGTTCCACCTCGCTCCCCGTGCGCAACGCGCGCAACGCGCGCGCCGCGCGCCGCGCGCAACGTCCCCTCCTCAAAGACCGGAAGAGCCTGGCCACCCGCGCCACCCGCACCACCCGCACGATGCGGCCGATTCGCAGCAGCCTCGCGTGTCTCACAGAAGGCCCTCCTGGACCTGAGAACCTGTTCGATAGCAACGTCTCAATCCTCATTTCTTTGAGCAAAAGGAAGCTTCTGGGGGCCCAGATCCGCATTTGCATGCAACAAAAAGACCTTTTGGAGACCCTCCCTGAAATCCCGAGTACCGTCGCCTCAAGGCCCGCAAGTTCCGGTTGGCGCCCATGGTGGAAGTGCCAGGGGTCACCAGAAGCGCAATCAGCTCAGCCCAGGTGGAGCCTCAAGTGAGCCGTTGGCTCAAATGTTTCGAAATATGAGTGTGGGTCAAAACCAATGGAACAATTTTGGGGAAGTGCACCACCCATTTTAGTCCAGTTTAGCGGGGATTGGGATGTTCCCAGGGCGATATGGCCCAAGGTGCCTTTAGTTCGACCGAAAGACTGGACACCTCAAGGGAGACGCCCCCTTTTTCGCTGTATCGAGCTAATGTTACATAGCGTCTTGAAAGCTGGTGCCAACTATACCTTCAACAACAACCGCGTGAACACGACCACGCTTGGCAACTTTGTGCGCTTCGCAGCCGTGTTTTAACAAGAAGCTCCCTTTGGCTGAGGCGGGGGGCTACGTCCTTTCTATTCCTCAGGGCAGGTTTCTCGAACGCTTCTCAAAAGGGTTCCGGCCTTTCTGATGGGTAAATTCCTGATTAGTTCAGCTCAGCCCCTAAAAACAAGCCAGAATGTGCCACCTCTTGGTGTGCACGCTGCGCCGTTCTACCAGAAAGGAGCAAATGATCGCAACACAGGCAACGAGGAAAACGCCCGGCGACTGAGCGCCAGCTTGCAAGCAATGGGCCAGCGTGAGCTTCACCGAATCATTCCAAGGTGGGCAAGTCCTCCCCAACCGCAGCTGTTCACTCGCAGAAAGTGGCAGATTCACTACTTGACAGCAGAAATGCGCTGGAGGCGAGCCGTGTTCTAGCACATTTTTCCTTCGATCCGCCTCCACACAAGAAAAGTCCGAACCAGACCAAACCAAGGCCCGGGCTGACGACGAAGATGTCCAGCCAGTTCCAAGCCCAGTCCGAGGATTGCCAAACGTACGGCCAGAAGCCCTCCGCAAAAAGCCTGAGGCAGACTTCCACCTCGGCGGAGGAGGGGAAAAAAAGAAAAGAAGCAAAGCGCGGAGAAGCCGCGAGTCCCTATTCCTGAGCCTTTGGTCAACTGTTTCGGCCTTCCGGGAAAATCTTCCGGCTTGCCACAAGTTGCTGGCCGAGCTTTCGGCGCTCAAGAACAAGCCCAGCTTCAGCTTGGAGGGACAGGAAGGCCACCATTCTTAGGTTGCGAAATCTGCTCCCCCGCTAAAAGTTTAACTCTTAGAGGTTTAATTCGGAAAACCCATTAATGGGCAAAAAATTAAAGTCCTAACATCCAAGCAAGATGCACCAAAGACTTTTTGGATCCCTATTTGCAAAAAACCAGCTGTCAAGGTGCCCATGGCTCCAGACAAACTTCGGGGCGCAAGTCCTTGAGAAAAGCAAGCGGCTGTCGGCGTCCGCTCGATCCAAGGCCGCGTGCTCTTTGGGGTTTTCAAGACACACCGGCTATTGCACCCCGACCCATGCAGAGGGCTCCCTTTTTTCCCCCAGCGCCTTCGCAAGCCACTTTCCCTCCACAATCATGGAGGTGGACAAAAAAACCCAAAAGGAACATAGTGAACCAAAACCCTTCTGTCAGCTTCCATGAGTGTTGGCAATAAATTGTTGCAAGTTCCCATGCGCTGGTTCTCCGAAGTTCTCTGGGCGAGTTGCGTGCTTCTCTGAGCCTCTGTGCAAGTTTCTCTGCAAGTTGTCTAATCAAGCTTCTCCTGAGCAAACTGTGTTTTTCTCTGAGCTTGTGTTCTGTACAAGTTCGTTCTCTGAGCAAGTTCTCCTGGTCTCTATGCGAGTTCTATGCAGGCCAGCGCAAGAGAACCCAGCGCAGCTTCGTCTCCAAACAGGATGGCCCCGCAAAATGCCGGAGGGGGTGGAGAAGCGTCTCGTTGGTTCCAAAGAAATCCGACCCGGAAGAAGGAACCACTCAAAGTCAACACACGCCGAATATATATATATATATATATATATAAAAAAGAACGGCCGAAAAAGGTTGCTCCACCGCCACACGGGCCACCGAGAAGACCACTGCGTAGCCGATATGGATCCCCAGGAAGATCTCCTCCCCGGAGGAGATGTCTTGAGCCGCAGACTGCCATTCCAGCTGCAAGCCCAGGAACAAGGAGTTGGTGATGATCCTAGGGAAGCAGAAAGGGAATAAATGACCTTTCTAAAAACCCATCCCTTGCCCGGTTTGCTTTTAAGGGCCTTCCCCGGCATTCATTCCCTTGTGTTTTACCTCTCGCACCCGCGAAGCAGTCCGGCCCGCCAACTTGGGTGATCCGTTTCACATCTCTTGGACGCCTTGGAGTTCAGGAGCCGACACACACGCACACAAAGCCCGTTTTCGGCCAAAAAGACCTGCACGAAGGATGCCTTCGTAAAGAAAAGAAGAAGAAGAAGAAAAACCGGCGGGGGGAAAGGGGGGAAAGGGGGGCGGGTTGGGCCGAAAGCGGCCGCTTTGCCCGGTGGGCCTGGTTCCTTCCGAGGGTTTTCTCTCTTCTCGCCGAGCGTCAGCATGGAGAAGAAGAGGCTGGAGGTTTGGGACGCCATCAGGGCCCCGACCTTCTCCTGAGGCGGGAAAAATCGATCGGACCCCGGGCAAGAAATGAGATCTTTTTCTTGCCTGGTTGGTGGAAAACCAAGGGGGCCACAAAAAAGCAACAAAGCAAAAAGGGGAGCTGCTGGTGAAGAAGATAGCGGCGCTCAACGGAGAGCTGCGACGTGTGAGGCCATCCAGTTTTTGGCATAGGTTCGAAGGGAAGCCAAAAGGAAACCACACATTTTGGGGGGGCCAAACCCCCCAACAAAAAAACTGTTCGGATTTTCCCGGTTTGTCTTGGGAAATAGATGGGGTTCCCTGGTAGAGAAAAAACCACCAGGTAAAAAGGGAAGGGGCAGGAAACTTTCCGGGGGCCTGGGAAAGTTTCAAAAACCGAGAAAAACAACCGGGACATATCCATGTCTCCCTGGGGGTCATGGTATTTTACCCTAATGCTTGCAGGGTTCCTGCCCATGTCCCTTTAACTAGGGCCATCCATTTTTCGACCCAAACAACCAAAAAATACACCAATGGTAGCACACAAAAATCGCTGCGACTCGACTTCCGCTTGAAGCGGCCTGCTTAAGGGTTCCCACATCCATGCGCCCTTTGCCCAGCAGACATGTCCCAAAGACTACACGCAGGAATCCACCGCCTGAGCGAGTCGGAAAAACACGTCATTCCTAAAATCCCCCCCAATCCGGCCACCCAGTCCTTCGAAATCAATCACCTCAACATCCCCCGGACTCGTTTGTAAACTCTCCTGCGCCACTTGGTCTTCTTCAACTAATCCTTGCCATCCGGAGCAACCAACAGAAAAAAAACTGGAAAAACAAGCGTTTAATGGATGGCCAGCCCTTGCCAAGCCCTCCCTGTTGAAATTGAACCCCTTCCCCTTCCCCCCCCCCTCCGTTTTTTGTTCCTTTTGCTTCGGGGGGTTTAGACAGTTTCGGGGTCTTGGGGGGACTTTTTTTCGGGGCCCGGACCGGGCCCCGACTCCCCCCGCCTTTCCCCAAACGCCTCCCCCCCCCCCCCCCCCCCCCTCCCCCCCAAGCGCCCCAACCGCCGGAAGTCCTGCCAGCTCCGCAGAACCGCGGCCTTCGGGGACTCGGGGATCGACTCCAAGGCCTCCACCTGCGACGTGGCCGCCGCCGAGGCCGCCGCCGAGGCCTGCGCGGACGGGTCGCCGACGAGGCGGGCGGACGAGGCGGGAGGGCCCGAGCCGAAAAACGGGCGGAGAAGGGGCCGGGCAAAGAACAAGAACAGAAAAAGAAGAAGGGGGGGTCGCTTTTTTGTTTTTTGTTTTTTTTTGGGGGGGGGCAGCCCCCCAAAAATGGAAAAAATATGAGCAGAAACCCAAGGAGAAAGAAACTATGAAAGCTGGGTGTCAGTGAAGGGGCCTTCTCGTGGTCCGCTCTTACTTGGCTCTTTCTGTGAAAAAGCCCCTTTCAGGTTGAGTGCACTATGCACCCGCTAAACGGAGCTGCGAACTCATTCATCGGCTTGGACAAGCTGGCCCTCTTTTTTTGCCTCAGACTCAAAAAGCTACGCCGTTCAGACCCCTGTCCTGTCAAAGCACAAATGGCCCGCAATTCGCAATCTGAAACGGGCGATACCATGGATTCACGAGGAGTGTGCTCCTTTGCAAACCTCTTCCGATGCCTCGCAACGGCAGGCGCTTCCGCAAGCTCTTTGTTGCTGTTGACCCCTCTGCAAAAAGTTAAACCTGTTTGTGGGTTTAGTGGACAACCCCAAATGATTTCAACCAAAAAGTTTTAAAGTCCGAAGATCCGTTGCCCAATAGCAGTCAAGAGTTTTCGAAACCCGCGCCTCCACCACCCGCGTGTGGGTTAGCCGGGCGGCATCGTAGCTGTTCATGCGGTCGGACAGCCCCTCGCCGCGCGTGGGCGCGGAGCGCAGCGAGGGCCGCTTCTGCCGCGTCGGCGTTGAGGGCATCGGCCTCACCTGGCGTGGAGCTGCAGGACCAGGGGGGGGAGGTCCAGATGATGGCTCTGGCCCCTCCCAAGGTGGTCTGATTCCCCACTAAACCCAAAAACACCCCCCCCCCCTGTTCATAACCTGGGGTTGCTTAATATGGGGTCAACATGAAAGCTTTGAATTGCCGAGCCGAGACATTCCGGATTCAGGGCTGTGGAATGGCTGACGAGTGAAGTGGCCAAATGGCCCTGTGAAAGCAACAGACCCGCTTCTGAAGGCTGCATAGCACGTACAAACACACACCACCCGCATGGTGCACCACCCTTGCCAATGGTCAATGTCCCTGCAACTTCCTTTAGCTACCGTTCCAAGGACGACCCTAGTGGACCCTCAATCCTTCTGCAACCTCATAGACATTTTTCGAGTTCGCACGGACCAGGCCGCTTCAAGTCCTTCTTGCTCCGTTCTTTAACCAGAACGAAGCTTGGCTTCCCGCCTGTGGTCCCAGACTCTGCTCGACACTCTCCAGCCAAGCATCCAGGTGCCGCATCATCTCCAGCCTGTGCCTACGAGACTTGCACTGCAACCGCCTGGCTTCAGCTACCAAGGCTTCTCTCACCTCCATTCCACTAGTGATAGATGATTCCCTTTAACACCAACAGGGGAAAAAACAATCCTAAGCAAATGGAAGCTCGTTCTTTAGTGAAGTTGAAGCCGAATCGCTGGTTTGGTGCGCAATGAGCTTCCTTCCAATTGGTGGTTTGGACAGTTTCCCATTTACCCTCTACAAATCTCTACAAGAACCAGGGGCTCAAATCCCCACACCAATCCACAATTCGGGGATACCTCATTGCTTGCCTTGCAAATCAAAAAGAAACACCAGCTTGATTTGCAGCAAATCTGCCTTGCCTGAATTTGTCTGGCTCTCAACATGCCGTCGATTGACGTTAAACACCTAGCTCTCCACAACCGTTGCGTTGCGTTGCTGGGTATGCGCGCGCTAGCCAAGGCATGGGTCGCGACGCACATCGCCGTTGGCTCTTAGCTCGGCCCTGCCCTCACGCCCTAACGGGGGTTGGGCCGTTGAACGACTGGTTCTTCGGATTCCAGCCGTTGCCTCTCCAGCACCTGCTCCATCCTGTCCTGGCGCGGGAACGAAAAAGTCCCAATTCGGCTTGGAGTCCCCCAAACGCAGAGAGGAGGTTAGAATAAGGGTACCTTTTTTTCTGTAGGGGAACCCTCCCAACCAAAAAAGGGCTCAAAAAGGGCACTACTGGCTGGGGGACCTAGTTAAACCACCCAACTCTCCGGCCCTTCCTCCAGCTTCGCCATGGGAAGCGCGGGCGAACAAGCCGCGCACCCACAGCCGCAGGCGGTCGGTCTTTGCGAACCGCCCGACGGCAAGTTGCGAGTGCGGTTGCCCACGGTCGTTCAAAGAACCGCTGGCCACCTTTGCTTTCGTTTGTGGGGCACCGCGGGCTGCCGCAGACGGAGCTGAGAGCCCTAAAAGCGGCGGTTTTGGGGCTGGTGGGCTGCCCCCGTCTGCAACCACAAAAACGTACATCGCCTGGGTCCATCGGCAGGGAAAGAGGTACACCACATATAATACCCTCCAACCCCCTCCACCCCCACCCCGCCAGCAGCATACCTAGATGCAAAATGAACATGCAGCGGCCGGAACCGCCATAGTGCGGAAAAGCAGATTCGGGTTTGATGCACAATGCACACCTCACCGTCGTGTCATGGCATGCTGCCCGTCCTCATGACTGTCGCCCAGATCTTAGATCGACTTTGCTTCGAGCAGGCCTTTGAAGGTGACCAGCCTGCTAACCGCAAGTAACTCAGCGAGGTGATCAAACTGATGGAAGGGAACACCCAAAACACCCGCGCGAGATACACCAGGTGCCCCAGCCCGAGGCAGAATCGTGTGAGAAAGTGTGCGCCCCGCCCAGCAAAAATGATGTGGTGCACTTTGGCCCCTTTTCTAAAGAAGCCTCTGTGTGTGTGTGTGTGTGTGTCAGCTTGTGTTTGTGTTTGTGTGTCTTTGCGTGTTTGTGTTTTTGTGTTTGTGTGCTTGTGCGTGTATTGTCTTGAGTTTGTGCTTGGCTGTTTGTGCGGTTGCCTGCTTGCTTGGTTTGATTTGTTTTGCTTTGATTTGCTTTGTTTTTTTTCTGCTTTACTTTGTTTCCTTGCTTTGCTCGCTTTGCTTTGCTTTGCTTTGCCTTGCTTTGCCTGCTTTGCCTGCTATGCCTGCCTTGCCTGCCTGCCTTGCCTGCCTGCCTTGCCTGCCTTGCCTGCCTTGCCTGCCTGGCCTGCCTGGCCTGCCTGCCTGCCTGCCTGCCTGGCTTGCTGCCTGGCTTGCTGCCTGGCTTGCTGCCTGGCTTGCTTGCTTGCTTGCTTGCTTGCTTGCTTGCTTGCTTGCTTGCTTGCTGGCTGGCTGGCTGGCTGGCTGGCTGGCTGGCTGGCTTGCTTGCTTGCTTGCTTGCTTCCTCGCTTTCTCGCTTTCTCCCTTTCTCGCTTTCTCGCTTTCTCGCTCGCTCACTCGCTCGCTGGCTCGCTTGCTTGGTGTGTGTGTGTGTGTTGAGGCTACCTTTTCAAGTGACTCTGAAGGGAAATCGAACGGAACCTCTCTCCGATGTGTCCGCCGCTTTGGACGTGCAAATCATCGAGGAAAGCGCGCACCAAGCCTGTGGAAAACCCACAGGTTGCCCCCATCGCAACACGGCAATGGCTCCTCCCCCCGAAAACAGCCGACCGGACGATTTCCTTGTGCCCGCTTGCCCGAGGGCTCCTTATGACCACTCTTTCTTTACACCGTGATTTAGTCCAAGAGCTCGGTGGCAGTGTCACAACGCCGCGATTATTTTTCTCCGAAAGGCTCTGAGACCTATCACCTTTGGCGATTGCCTTGCGTTGTCAAGGTCGCTGGCAACGCCCACCCAAGCATGATCAGTCCAATCTGGAATCTGCGGCGGCGGCTCCTTTCATGCTCGCCTCGTCACCAGCGCCAGCCCTGGAAAACACTTCCAAAAAAGGCACCACCACCGTACATTATACACCTGAACATTGCCTTGTAAATGGAGGTGTCCCTTTATTTTGGTGTTGAAAAAGCAACATGTTTCAAGCGGTTGCAAAATGGAGATCTTTTAAGGAGCCCTGGACTCAAATCGAAGCTCTTACGCCCTCGAGACCAAATCTTATTCCATTTGTCTGGCCGCCCTGATCGCTAGCCGCTGGGACCGTAGGCGCTCAGCTCCGAATGCTTCCATTGGAAGGCTCGGAACGCTCCAAGCGAGGGAGCGCGGGTTCGACGCACCACGCATGTGAAAAAAACCCGGCTGGGCTGTTGCAGCACTACTGCAGCATTCCAAGCCTGGTAGAAGTTGAACCCCTTTTTTGAGGAGCTCCATTCTGCCGAAAAAGGAGGTCGAGAAGGTGCAATCACTCTCCAGCAAGGGGCCGAGATCGAAGAAAGTGGTGGACAAGCACGCTGTCAGTCAGCTATGTTTGCTCGCTTTGCTGGACCGACCGCCTGAATGAAGCAAAGGAGGCGAAAGTGTAGCCCCCATCTGCAACCAACATACTGTTCGTAGCCATAAGGCTGTGGGTCAAAACCCAGGAAACCCCTTGTGAACATCAAGATTGGTGGTCATTGGGTGTTCATCCGCTTCAAAATGGAGGCATAGGTTATGACCCAGGGCCATAACTTGCTGTGCCCCTCACGTGGCATGCGGATGGATTTCCAGCCGCTGCGCTTTGGCATGCGGCTTTGAAGAGCTCCAGGTGGAGCACTCGGAATAAAGTTTCAGCCAGAGGTGCCCCTGGTAGATGAGCAAGCTGAATTATTTTTCGAGCAGAACCACCAAAAAGGGACACCCATGGTTTCCGCTTTTCGGCATTCCCGGATCTCCGCCGAAAGCGGAAAGGATTCATTCAGGGCGCCGGGCACCTAGATGCGAGGGGAAGATCGGAGTGGAAGGTCCATAAGGCTGCCGTCCACATGTGGCTGTGGCTCAAAAAAGTGGTACCAAAATGGCACCTTGGTAAATGGAACCAATGACTAAAACCCCGTAACCCCAGCTCTTGAATTTTGAGCCACAGCAGCCACATGGGTCAAAAATAGGGTAACCCCAAAATGGGACCCTGATAAGTGGAAACATGGACCAAAACCTGCGGTCCATATCCTGGTGGTTTAATTTTGACCCATGCCCACATAGACTTCCCGAAACCTGCAAAACAACTCGAACCAAGGGATGCTTCAGATCACTTGGGGATTCTGTTAGATCCCTTCTACCTCAGCCCCTCAAAACTGCGAGCTCTCGATTCCGCCACATTCAACGGGCCGGATGTAAGTTGAGGCGTCTCAGCCATCCCTCTCCCCGATGGACATCCACTCCTTCGCCGGCTTTGCACTGCAGCTTCCGCGGCTCCGGCTCTCATGTGGCGCTCGAATCCGCGCGCTGCCGCTGCAAGCGGCTCTCGAGCTTCTGCAGCTGCTTGCTGATCTTTGACTCAGCGGCCGGGATCGGACACCTTGATTGGTCTGGGTGAATTCTAATATTTCACCAGCCTGAAACTTGCGGCGGTTTGGGAGCTACTCCCCTCAAAAAACAAAAAAACAAAAACATTCGGGCGTGTGAGGTCGCTATAATTCCCTCTGATTGGTGGTTTGGAGCCAGGCGCTTGGGTGGTTAAGGAGTGTATTCCCATTTGTCCTTTCAAGAACCAGGGGTTCCACCCCCCAAACCACGCGTCCAAACCGCCAACTAAGGGTTACAAGCATCTTTCTTTCTTGTGCCCTACCTTCCGAAAAGAATACCCAATCATCGCTCAAGAAAACTCACTTCCGTCGGCCGTTCGCAAAGGCGATTTCGGGGTTTACATCTAGGGAAGCCTGCCAATGATCATTTCCGCCTCACCCAAAAAAGAACAGCGGCCGAGGCAAAGGGGACCCCCCTTCAAGGCCAGCCCCCCCTCATTAACACAAACCCCTCCGCGATTAATCAGGACCCTTTTGGGCTCAAAACCAAAAAACCAAACCCGCTTTTGCCTTTTCAAGTCCTAGTGCGAAGGGGCCAGAAGCAAGAGGACCAGGACCGCAGGGCCCCGAGATTAGTCAGGGGGCTCCTCCCAAAAATCTCTCAGTTTTGGGGACTTGTCCAAACCTTGTCGACCTTGAAGGGAGGGGGGGGAGGGCGGGGGAGGGGGAGGGGTTTACTAATCAGTTGTCACCATTAGCAACAGCCAGTGGTGGGGGGAATTTGGGGTGTCCGCCTTTTGTCGCGCCCGAGCCGTCCGTCCCAAAGTCCCAAAAAGACCCGCAAAAGGTTCCCGAGGCCCCAAAGACCCCGGAACAACATGTGAGTTTGCGACCATGAAACGCTTGAGACGCTGAAGCAAAGGTAGTGGTCAAAGCAGATTATTCGAGTTGTTGAACCAGACCAAATAGTTGGCCGCACCAAGCCATGCTTGCCCCGAGATTTCGAGGCCCGAGGGGCGCTCTGCTGGCGCAGGGCGAACAAGTCCGCGGACCTGGCCGGGCCGTGCAGCTGCAGGCAGCGCTCCGTGAACTCCTGACGACGCGGGCCGAATCGCCCCGACCCCCGCGCCCCGCGGGAATCGCGCGCTTCCCCCTGCCGCCTTTCGGGATCGATCCGTCCGCTGGGTCTGAGTTCCTGTCCACCCTCTACAAGAAATGAAATCCCCGCCTAGCCACCCATTCAGAACTGACTGGAGGGCTCTGCATGCGTTGTGGTGGGATTCTGTGTGTTTTGTTGAGGCCCCCTTTTTGTGGATTGATTATCATACCAAACGGACAAACCACTCTTTTTTTCTCAGCCCACAATTCAGCGGCTCTGGGGATTTCATGGTTCTTGCAACCACCAAACCACCAATGCAAAACACCAGTTAGAGGCTTGGTTGCTGGTGACCTCTCTGCAAATAGTTTATAAGTGTTTCTGGGTCCAATTCGGCAAATCAAACCTGTTTCAACCAAGACTTACAGTCCAAAGATCCAGGGGTTTGGAAGCCCGAGGCAATTGGATGAGGGGCTGAGCCATTGATTTGGCAGGACATGCGTATGGCCCCAGTTCGGCTTCCGGCGGTTCCTTTGACCAGTGGATCAACCGAAACTTCTCCCCGCGGAAGAGCCCCGGCAGCAGAGTGACCCCCAAGGACCTGGAAATGACATGTTCTGGGGGTTGATTCCTTTTCCTTTCTTTTGAACCATCGTTTTTTTTCAAAAACCCAGCGGTTTCCCTTGGGGTTCTGATGGTCTATTGAAAAGATTCGGATCCCTGGAAAGAATGGAAATGTCCCCCCAGACATTGCGCAACTCGGGCCAAAGCCGTTGAATGGGGGCTGAGAAGCTCACCCAAAGCCCAAAGCCCAAGGCCCAAAAAGCCGGCACTCGCGATCTGCCACCTGTCGTCACTCGCTTCCGAACAAGATTCGGGAGTAGTCGTGAAACTTTTATGTGCCACAGGGGTCACTGGATTTC